AAGATGCTGTGGCTCAACATTTCAGCATCACATCAAGAAGGACGGGACGTTGTGAGGTGACATTCTTGCTCCTGTTACTCAGTGCTGCTGTTTGTAATGGTGCGGATCACCTTCAACACTTCACTACAGCTCATAATGAACCACCTGAGACACACCCAGTGAAGCCGCATGTAGTCCACACTGCAGGTTAAACGTTAGCTCTTAGACTGTGTGCACTTCAACCTTTTTATCTTTTAGACAAAGTGTTTTTGCGTCAGCAATGAAACTGTTACGTAAAGTACTTCTGGGTCCAGAATCTGCATACTTTTCTCTTATTTAAACCAGGGAATGAGTCCGCAATTTATACACTTCCGGTTCCGTTTTGAACGTTAGCTTCTTACTTCTGCTGATTGTATTCACGCTTTAATAAATCATAAAATTGGTGTTGGAACAAAACGTGTAACCATCATTAACGGCATTATTATCTGCAATAATCCAATTTAAGAATCCCTTTGACGTTTTGTGCAGGGAACCATGTGTGGTGTTAACTTCCTGTTCTACATAAATACATCTTCCCTTCAGCACTGTATTAAAAATATAAATGTACCTTTTGAATGTGTAAGATGTGCAGTGTGTTAATATAAGTGAATATAGTACAGGGTATTCTCTACAACAGTTTACTCTCCCGTCACAAGTTCAACTATCTTTAAAAGATATAAAGGCCCAAACCCCTTAAAGTGAGCGTGCAGTGCTGTAGTTCAGACCAAGACTAAACTGATGCGTGAGCTTTCATTTCATATCACAACAAAACTAAATCACTTTCTAGCTGTTTCCCTCTTGGCTCCTGTGCAGGTATAACAATCATTCTGAGGGCTGGAGAAGGTTTCCTCTTTCAGGTCTGATCTCTATGCAGAGAACATTCTGCACCAGTGACACTAACAGACGCCTGACGTTAATTCAGATAACTAGTACAGATCTGCGGGGCATTCATCAGTGGGAATAGTTTGCTCATAAATCCAGTAGATAGAAGTTCAGAGCTGTGTGAAGTAAACGGGGATTGACTTGCTGCTCAGTATTCTCAACAAAGAGCTGCAGGTGTCCGATGGATGAAAACATGAGGCTAGAAAGAGAGAGACGAACCTGATGAAGGATGATGATGAATTCAGATTCTTTGAATTGGTCAAAATGTCAAACCCCGACATAAAGCACTTCTCTGCGTGTCCTCCATTTATACAGCATAGTAAATACTGCTGCCACCCACAGAAACATGAGTGCTCTCAGTCGTCACACCTCAGGAACTCGTCCATCTCATCGAGTGGTTTCAATCTGTTGAAGAAGTGGTTTGAGGCGCTCGGCAGCACTTTGTGTCGTTTGATTGGCACCTAAACGAGGGCTTCGCTTCAGAGCTTGAGCTGTTCAATCAGAGCCCGGCAGGTCGAACGGCGGCGCATCATCACTTTCAGAAAAGTGCTGAGTCATGCATCGCAGAGCTGACCGTTCTATATATGAACAGGTGAAGAGGGAGACGAGCACGGATCGGTCTTTATAGAAACCACCGATCAATGTATTGAAAAACCGTTGATGTCTGCAGAGATGTGTTGTCCTCTCACGTTAGCCTGTGAATCCTGAGGTTTCTGTCTTTATGTTTGAAGCACAGAACCCAAATCAGAATGTCTGTTACATTATAGTCACCAGCTTAAACTCCTGGCAGCGTCTCCGCTCCGTGTCCTTTTGTTGACTCCTGCCGTCCTACAGCTGTGATGTCTTTTGTGCTGTTTCCTCCCCAAGTGGAGCCTCCAAAGGAATGGAAGTGTCAGCGTTCTACACAGGTCTGAAGTAGAGTTTAAAGCTCCCGGTCTTTAAAATAACAAAAGGGTCGACGAAGGAAAAAATAACCCGCAGAGGCACAAATGATGTATTTCACTTGTTTGAGACAAACTGCAGTTTGTGTCAGCAGCTCTTCACACGAGCTGTCAACCTTTCTACTGTCGCATTTAGCAGTTTCAGTTCCTTAAGGAAGTACATGTGAGGGTCTAGAAAGGGTTTTAATGTAACCCATATTTTCCTCATTGATTTATGCTCTTCATAAATGTTTTAAATGGATGTGCAGAATGAGAGAAAAGAGAGAGAGTGAGCTTTAGAGGGTTAGTGATGTGTGTTTGTAAAGTTAGGGATCTATGACATCACAGCTCAGAGGTTTTTACAACTCTGATGCTGCATCTCACCAGATGGCGTTGCATTGCAACCCCCCCCCCACCCGGCTGTGCAAACACACTGATGTGAATGAAGAGAGAGAGAGCGATCTCTCTACTGGAGATATGATTAATAATTTCATATTTGTTGTGCAATATATTGAAATATGAGCTAGAAGCTGTTCTGGCAGCAGGAATTCTAACCTACAGCAACTACAACACAAACATCATACTATGTATGTAATAATATATATTCATAGTTATACAAGTACATGAACAACAAGTATGTGCACACAAAGACCTCCAAAAACAATGAAGACTAGTTTGCTTCAAACTCTGCTGCAGCTATGTGTTGTAGAACAGCGGCGGCCATACTTCTGTGGACCGATGATGTTGCGACTGCTGTTGCAGGATAACTTCTCTATAATCTAAACCGACTTTTGGCAAGTCGCTGACTCACTGAGGTGAGGTTGTGAGTTCGGCTCCTTTCCTGTTTCAACATGAAGCTCCCTGAAGCTATAATAGTCTTAGTCGGCTGTTTATAGCAGCAAATGAATGGTAATGTATTAGAACGATCAGTAGTTGTGTATGGATGCAATACTCGGTTGTCCTCATACTTTTGGCCAGATAATGTTTATTAATTTGATTACATAGGACAGTTTGGTGGCAATAATCCAACGTATGGACTGGATAGTTTGTTTCATGATGTAAAACTTCATATTCACAAATGCGTCATCCATCACAACTCTACCGTTGTTTTCAGAGCACCGCTCTCATCACAGTGAGGGATTTAATCCAGTGTCAACATTCATCACTCTGAAGGACCGGAGGTCTGGAGGTCTGAAGGACCGGAGGTCTGGAGGTCTGGAGGTCTGGAGTGTGATGAACACCAACTAGGAGGCAGTGACGTGTGTTAGAGCTCAAGGTGCCGACAGTGACACAGTTTGTGTTCCACAGTTTTTAATATGAAGAAGACGTGAAGCCAAAGGATCGATAGAGAAGCACCAGGACAGTTGAGGTTCAGTGGATCCGTTTTTACATTTTCCACAAAACACAAAAGATGTTCAAAATGTCAAAATAAATGTCACGTTCCCCACATTTGAATGTATTTAGTGCTCAAATCCTTCAGTAATAAATCAGGACAGATGCTCACAGACTACAACGGTGTGATGGCTGAATGCAGATTGGTTTCATGGTGAGATATCATCCGCTTTAGTGCTGATTTATTTGATTTATTTATTCTCTTTATAATCTCATGTAAAGCCTCAAACTCTGACGTGTTGTTGGCGTGCGTCCTCGGGTGTGTAGTTGTGTAGTTTAGTGTTGCAGGAAGCGGTTCCACTCTGTTAATCTGGCAACAGACGGATCACACAGCATCTGCTGATGTCTAATTATATTTATACAAACACACACACACACACACACACACACGAAGCGTTTAATCACACACTGACATACGAGCTGTGTTGGACTTTATGAGATATTCTCTGACTCGTCTGCGTTTACTCATCTGACTCCAGATCTGCCTCCTCTGGCAGGGTGTGCTCTGATAATCTGAGCGTCAGTCGGGCGTATTTCTGGACACCTTTTCCCAGGAGTCTCAGTGTTTGTGCTCACACTGCAGTCATTAGGAAGCCCAAATATCAGAGCGGGTGGAAATGGGTCACTCCCACCGCGTGTGGCCCGCTTATATATTCATATATTCTCAGCAGCGCATTTTGAAATGAATATTCTTCTTTTTACAAGAGGAAGTCAGCAGCCACTCTGAGGCTGTGACGCTGATGATGAAACTCCTGGATGGAGAGGAAAGAATTCCTTCTTTCATTTCACAGGATTTCATTTGACTTCATTGAACTACGTTTACACCAAATATTCAGTTTTTAGTTCTTATTGTGAAAAAGACACATGGCTAATATTCCTGTTTACATGAAGCCGTTCATATCCGTATTAACCTACGACACCATGCCGCCATTTTGCTTCTTTGTGTCAAAATATGTACGTTTTCCACTGGTGGTGGTTTTGTTGGAGCGAGTGCACTCGGCCTTTATAAATATTATTTCTGTTACGTGAAGTAGTAAAAAGAGAACAGGTGCTCAGTGATCAATAAAAACAGGAGATATTCTCGTCTTAGACTCCTGCATCCTGAAATAGAGCCTGACCTTTTCACCACGTATGTTTGAAAGATGACACACACACACACACACACACACACACACACAGATGTTATTCCTGGGCTCTTGACATCTCTCTGTTGGCAGAGACACACATGAAGGTCACAGAGCGATGGACTCGACCTATTCCTGTAGTTGCTCTCTCCCCGTGTCCCACAATGCACTCACTTTTGCAGAGGCAGCTCGGTGTCTCCTCCGGATGTGAAATGACTGAATATCTTTAATGTAACGCAGACGCATGAAGCTCCTCCCGTCCTTCATTTCACACAGATCAGCACTTTTTAAATCTAGTTTTGGTCAGAACTCCAGAAGGCAGGTTATGACTCGTAAAGTCCAGCCATAGAAACTCATTTTTAATAAATGTCTTCTTGTCTCGTGGAACAAAGTGAATCGTGTTTGTCCGACACATACGATGTCTTCGGTGGTGTAACTGTCATGAGTTCTTCTGATATTTAAAAGCATTGATTGGTATAATGAGGACGCCATAGTTAAAGGTCAGAACAGAAACGACACATCTAATCTGATGTTGAAGGAACTTTAAACGTGGTGGTTTGTTGAAGATGACTGTGATGAGTTCTCCTTTAAGTCGAAGCTCAGCATTTAATGAGCAAACCTCTGATGTGCTTTTGATGCTTTTGATGTTTCTTCTTCTCCTCAGAGACTCTGGAGCCTTCGCCGCTGACTTCAGACCAGATCCGATACAGTGAGAGATTAAATCTGACTCACAGACACAGATCTTCTGTATGTTATTGCAGATATCACAGCCTGAAACTCCTCCGGCAGCATTTATTTCATGTCAGCAGTTCTGCTGCTGGTGTGTTTACTGACCACACTGTAATCAACTCGTTTATCTTCCAACAGTCTGAACATCAGAGATGTTGGATAGTTTCTATAGAATATAGAAATACAGTATTATATACATTATACTGTATACTGTATATTATACTGTGTTATCCCATCTGTTGTATTTAACACAAGTGAGCCACAACATTGTACAAACACTAAAGCATACAAAGATAAGAATAGATAATAACTATTAATGTTAAGATGTCGGCCATGTTGCTCAGAGAGAAGAGAAGATGCTAATTCAGAAAATGCACCACAGGAAGTCACGACTGTTTTAGTTTTGTCGTACTTCGTTGTGCATCAATATGTTGCATAAGAACAATAAACTGTCATTGAATCCTTGAACATTTTCTGATTATCAGAAACCATACAATATCGTAGTGTGTGTATATACAATATATATATATATATATATACTGTGTGTGTATGTATGTATGTATATGTGTATTGTGTATATAGTTGAGATATAAAATGATCTGTATTCTGTTCGCTCGGCCCTAGTTTTGATACTTTCACAGTATTTATGTCACAACATTTTAAACAATAACACGTTTTATGAACTTGCTCGCTGCGGTTCACCGACGCTAACGTCAGAGTTAGACGTGAATCAGTGTGAATGTGTTGATCCGTCCTCTGACGGTCTTTTATTTCTCCCCGTTTGTCTTCAGTCTTGTTCCACAACGCCGTCCCCTTCGTTGGCTTCGGGTTCCTGGATAATGCCATCATGATCGCAGCAGTGAGTGACTCTAATCTCACGGGGATGAAGCTGCATTTTACTGCAGTCAAACATAAATCACACACACTTCAGTTTCTCTTCTGTGTTCCTGTGATGATGTCTCACCTCGTTGTCTTCTGTTCTCCAGGGAACTCAGATTGAACTCTCTATCGGAGTCACTCTGGGGATCTCCACCATGGCCGGTAAGAACGTCCTCTGGTGGATTGAATATGAATATATGTACATATATGTACATATAATGTGTGTTAATACCGTGTCAGAGGCTAGTTGATGTAACGGCTATAGTGGTTTCCACTTGAATCCTCTGAGCAGCAGCAACATGCTAATTGTCTCACTTCACACACAGAACATCTAACGGCTCACGCTGCAATGACTCATCAGGTGTTTAGATTTGACTTTCTCTGGTTTTATTCTCCTTAATGTGAGAAAATGCTGCTTCGGTCTGTTTTTACATCATTTAAACTGCTTATCTTTTGGGTTAGGAGAAGACGCTTCCAGAGATTTCTTTAATGACTTTTAGTTAAAGTGAGTTTCTACTCAAACAATCACAAACGGCAGCATTTCATATCGTGTGTTCAGCAGCGATGTGCTCACAAGCTTCTTGGAAATAAGTCCGTGAGCGATTAGAAGCTTGTGAGCACAGACTAAAGAGGTTTTCACATAAAACATTTTCAATACCTCATGAATTCTGAAGCTTTTATGTGTCTTATAAAACGGGTTAGTGCTCTGAATTAAAGGATCGTAAACATTTGAGATTATTTTCTGCAATAATTCAAAATCCAATTAAAATATCTTAACGGCTTTTCGTTAAAGGAAACCAGTGCGATGCTAACTTCCTGGTTGGCCACCAAAAATACATCATTACCTCATCATTTATTGTCATAATGGTATAAACCAAACATGATGATTTATTAAGATCAAATCTAAATTCATGGACAGAAATACACACTTTTCCTGAAAGAGTGATCTTAATACTTCCTCCGAACGAGGGCATGACGGTGTCCTCTATAGAAACACCTCGTCACCGGGCCGGTGTTTCTCCTAGAACTTTCTTTGTGTTCTTGTGAACCAGTGAATGATGCCTTGGTTCTATAGATCTGCCTCCTCTTCCACCAGCCGTCTCCTGGAAGACATTTTATATTCCTCGTACATCTCCGGTGTTTCCACCAGTCGTACAGAGTTCCTGAATAACAGTCGGAGCTTCTTGCATCACGGCCTCGCTGTCATCGCTGCTGCTGCTGCCGGCATCTCGTTTCCTCACTTTGTTCCGCTGCGATGACCCGTGAAGGAGCCAGAGAGTCTCCTTCTCCTTTCCTCACCACTAGATGACTCTGTTTCCATGGATACTTGGCTCCAGCTGTGACGTCTTCATCCATCCAGACTCTGCTTCATGTGTGTGTCCTCGTCATCCGGCCTGCAGGGATGCTGAGCTCGTAACTGATTTACTTATTTTATTGTTACAGCTATTAATGGCCGTGAACAAAGTATTTCTCTTCAACGCTTCCAGCGGGTTCCCCTCTGTGAACATCCAACGTACCGTCGCTGACGTTCATTAACCGGAGAAGTTCTGAAGCCGATTGTTGCCGACGGTGAAAACCATGCAGGCAGAAGGAGAAGGAACTCTGAAGTGCCTTTGATCTGAGAATCCCTCACACCTTCTCTCAGCTCGTTTCAATGCTTTGATCTATTGTTCAGACTCCTCTGCTTTTACACAGATGTATGTGGGACAATTGGCACCGCAGAGTTTATATATTCACTTGTTCCTTCTGTGTGTGGGTGAGTTTAAGTCTTCCTCAGTGGGGCACGTTGGAGGGACGACACAGATTGCAAACACTCATTTGTAGATTTTAACTATTTGGGGACACTAATCCGGGGTCGAGATGCATTTACATTTCCTTGTTCAGACGGGGGTAACGGTGCTCACCTTCTTCTACTTGCGTAGAAAGGTGTCGGGAGAGTTCTGTGAGCTTCTAAATCTGTCAGATTAACATCATCCCAGAAGAAGTTGTCGACACTCTTAGAGGAAAATGACACGGATTGAAAGACGATGTTCTGTCAGAAGTTCAGATTCAGCTGGATTACAGACACTTATTTATAGATTTTAACTTCAATCAGCCGTCTTCTATTTTTCGGACACTTATCCGGGTTCAGGACGCAGTGGCTCAGACATCTTCGTCTCGACACATTTCCTCAAGCATCCTTTGGGATCCTGAGGCTCCTCGAGGCCTGATGGAGTTTCTGGGTCTCCTCCCATGTGACTTTTCTCGTAAAACCCCTGAAGAGAGACGTCCTGATCAGACGTTTGATCTGCTTCATGTTGGACGTCTTAGCTCCTCAAAATATTTCTGAAAGTGACGGCGTGCTTTAAATAAACTGGTTCATACAACGTGTCTGCAGGAGAGACTTTAAAGGTGTGAAAAGCCGTTGAATAGAGCGGCGATGTGGATCTACATTATTTCACATTTTCCTCCAAAACGTACTAATTTAAGTTCTACTTGGACCTTAAGAGGAGACGATTGAAGCACCAATGTAGTTTTCCTGCACTGATCACTTGAGAGATTTATGTTTATTTACCTTCTAGAACACGTCTTCCTTCAGACTAATGGAGAGAAAACATCATAAATACACATTTAGGAGTTTATTTTACATCTTTGTCCCTTTGATCTGTAGATTTCTCCTAAATTCACTAAAAGTTACCATTACATAATGCCTCATTTGCACATTTCACCAAAACTTGTAATACAAACACTACTAGTCTTACTGTCAGTAATGAACTGAAGAAGTTTCATGTTGCTATCCGTTAGTTAAATCCTTTAGGTTCCCCTGAGGTTTCTCATCTAAAGACGCTAAAACCACTTTAAACATTTAAAATGTAGTTCTGCGTGTTTGAGCGTTTCATCAAAGTCCTCTTTGTGTTTTGCAGCGGCGGCGTGGGGGAACCTGGTGTCAGACTTGGCTGGTCTCGGGTAAGAAGCTTCTTAAACGCTCTCTGAGGGATCTGATTTATTTTAAGTTAAACGGTTCCAGTTCCAGTCGCTGTTTAATGCATTTTTACAGTAAATGATTGTTAATATAGTATGATTGTTATATCAGATGTAACTGCACACCTGTGTGTTTGTAGTCTTGCAGGTTATGTGGAGGCTCTGGCGTCTAAACTGGGGATGCAGGGTCCGGACCTGACGGCCAAACAGGTGGACATGTGGCAGACCAGAGTCAGCTCTCACATGGTGAGCTTTTCATTATTTCACTCTTCTTTTGAGGCATTTCTGTGCGTTTTATTATGTTAACAGTAGAGAGGAGAGAGATGGGAGTGATGTGCAGTTTAACCAGCGAAGCAGTGTCCCCAAAGTTTAGTTTGTTTGTGCCATTAACAGCTCGCCCTCAACCATGAAGCTAGACACGAAACTAGGACGTTGGCTGAAATAGAGACAGGAAAGTCTGCAGCCGGTAGAGGAGTCTCATCACCACAGACCAGAGAAGAGGGAAGAGATTGTCAGCTGAGAAATGAGTTTAATTCTACAGTCTGAGAGGAGAACAGGTGAAGGGTTTTAACTCATAACGATGATGATGCGGTTCTTCTTCTCCTCCTGCAGGGCAAAGCCATCGGAGTCACCATCGGCTGTATTCTGGGGATGTTCCCGCTGTTTTTCCTGGATGACGAGAAGGAGAAGAAGGAGAAGGAGAGAGAAGCACAACTCTGCAGCGACGCTCCGTCACAGTCTTCCTAACGAGCCACACGAACACTGATGTCAACGTAAAGAAGTATTTATACGGTGTGTCTGCGTCTCAGGCAGCGTTCACACGTTCTTCAGCCTCCAAGCCCTCTGAAGCTGTTTGTTATAAACCAGTGATGTTCACGAGCTCCGGCTCTCTGGTTTCTCTCACCGTCTGCATCGAGAGCGAGCCATCTGTTTATTCAATATGTCCTCTTTAAAGGCGGCTCGTCTTAGATCATCCATTGTTTGATATTAATCCCGTTTTCCTCCCATAAACCCGACGGTTCCGACGTTCCCGCTGTGGTTCGGTCACCTTTTCTTACGCAACAATTTCTGTCACTTTCCCTCCAAGCAGCCGAGTGCGACACTAACGACGTCTTCCAGGAGAAACGTATTTATTTAATCTCCGTACCTTTAACTATGAATCTGTGTCTGTTTGTTGTTCACTCGTCCGATCTTCTTCACACTCGCTGGGTGTTTTTGCTCGGCTGCTTTGATGAATTTGGTGCAGTTTGGACACGAGGTATTCAATATTAATACACTTTGAATACATTAGCGAACAGTTCTCTGCGTTAACGTCACAGCCAAACTCTTCTCCACTCCCCCGCACAACCGTTCTACTCTAAAATCAGCATCGTCTTTTCAATCCTCTAGTCTTCAGTAACGTGACGTTCAGCTGAGGCTCCCTCAAAGAGAACGAGACGCTTTAATCCTGTTTCCATCTCTTCTTCTGACAGAACTAATGTGTTTCTGTGAACGCTGCCTGAGAAGAGCTCTCCTGTCTCATCACCGTCAGACGACAGCTGTGCTTCAGGATTCATATGCTAGAATCCACACACACACACACACACACACACACACACACAGGGGATGTGAATCCAGAATGTCCCGTCCTGACGGTAGAAACACAAACGGCACAAAGTAGAAAACTAGACGTCTCGTCCTGTAAGTTATTTAAAGAACATGAAACGTGTTTATGTTTCCTCAGCAGACACTTTATACGTTTGGAGACTTCTTCTCTAAAAACACTATTCTGTTTCTCGTAACTCGAGCTGAGCAGACTTTCCAGTTGTCGGTTAGTTTCTTTTTTAACTTTTACCAAAACAAATTATGAAGAACATGAATCATGTCCACTGCTACCTCTGAGGGAACGTGATGCGGCGCTATAATCAGACTTTTTATTGTTTTTTATAATATGCTGGAGAATGTTCTGTACGGGTGGATGCACTACTTTAACACTGGAGTTCTATTTCCTGTCTTTTCTGCGTCTGTCTGCACCATCTTGTTCTTTCTCTCCTCTCACGGTCTCCTGGGTCCCGCCATCTGTGCAATTAGTCTTTTACGGTTTTTCTTCTTCACACTTGAAGCTCCAGATGGTTTGGATTCTCGCTTCAGGTTGTTTTCAGAGACTCGAGCTCCTTCTTTGTCTCTCACACTCCAACTTTCAGCACGAATTCAAAGTGCTTTTTGTCACTTTGGTGAAACCAGTTGATCCTTTTCCTCCCGTTCACTGTTGGAGGCTAAAATCTAAATTCTCTGCTTCCTGTGTACGAGTGTCCGAATGTTAAGGCTGCAACAAGCGATTATGATCGACTTTGTCAAATTTTTTTTAATTTTTTTTTCTGATTAATGGATCAATCTTACATTCTTTAAGACGTCATAAGAAATGTCAGCCAGCCCAGATGAACTCTTAAAAAGTCCTCGTTTCTTTTTTCACAAATATAGCCTCAAACACAAAGATGCTCGACTTCTAAAGTAGTAAAGCTTCACGTTTTAGAATCTGGAGAATGTTTATTTAAACGTCTCAGCACAGACTTCTTTATGTAACACTCAAAAATACCCACAATGCAACAAACAAGGAAGGGTTTTGCTGCTAACAAAGCACTGCGTCACATTTGATGGCACTGAAGGCATGTTTGATGCGTTATTGGTTAATACGTGAGAACATGTTTCATGCGTCGCCTCTTTAAGACAGAATGATGAGTCTGCCGTTAATTAGCCCACAAATGTAAAGAATAAACTAAAGTTAACTAGAGAGTTAACAAGTGTCTGTTATGAAGGAAGTAGTGGACGAGGGAACGAAGGAGTGACTTTCAGAAGCAGCCACTGGATCACACAAGCAAATCCACTTTCATCTCCTACAAACCTCCTAAAAGTTAAAAAATTGCCAAAACTTTAAAATATTGTAATCACGATTGTAATAATTATTGAGCTGTTATTGAACAGATTGTGATGGTTGTTACGACGACGGGAAATGTTCGTCTTTAGAGGGATGAGGGACGAACCTCTGAAACGTTTAATCAATGTTTTAAGTGTTTGGACTCGACTGCAGAAGATATTTAAGTTTAACTGTAAACTGGAAGTTTTGTCTCGTTGGAAGATACATTTACTGCGGAGGACGAGGAGCAATGCATTCTGTGGTTAATCAGAAGCAACTCATTAATAAGTAATAATAAATGTTGTTTCAGGATGCTGTTTTTGTAACATCTCATGTTTATATCACGTTGTATTTTTGTTTTCCAGCATGTGGTGATCAGATTTTATGTTTTTATTTGACCTCTTCTCTTCATATTTTGCAGAATTTAATTCTCTGAAGTAGAAATAAAAATAGAAGAGAAGAGAGTTTGAAGCCTTTGAACAATAATATATATCTAGAATTTAAAGGAATGCTGTGCTGCCATCTTGTGGACAGTCTGGAACATGACGTCTGTGTATGGAAGGATTGATCATGTACAATGTAAAGTAACATAATAAATGTGGGAGTGTTTCCCTCTGGCTCCGCAGGTGAAGATGAAGCTCTGTGTCCTCCAGGTTGTTCTCCGCTGCTCTCAGGTCAGATCTTAAGTCACATTCGGTGCTGAATGCTTCTTAAAGGCTCTTTTAAAAGGCTCACAGAAGTTCTCTGAGTTTGAACCCTTTTGGTTGTTTCACATCATGAAGAACCTCTAAATAATCAGTAATAAAATAGAGCATCGGTATTTTCCAATTAACGAAATTGGAAAAAAATTACAACCAAAATAATCCTGAAAAACCAAAATCACCGACCAAACATTACGTTTCTTTACCTGGTGAAACTATATTTCCCTCACGATGTCTCGCAGATGGAGAGAAATAGAGAAATCATTAAGAGAAGACAAAGCACGAGCGTCTTTATTCAGATGCACATCGTCTGCTACCATTTTATTATTGAGCTCCAAACAGCTGCTGTACATAGAAATATGAGACGGTGTTCAGGACGTCAGACAGAAGAACAAGGAGAATAAAACCAACATGTTGCCTTCACTTCTAGTACCACAGACAGGCCTGTGATGGAGTATTCTGATGCCTCCTGGGTAATGAAGTCTTTAGTTTAAAGTATCCACCTGTTTAAATATGTAATAAAACCTGTCGGATGGATTCAGTGACACTTTTTTTATCTGGAAATGTTTTTCAGCAAATTAGACAGAAACATTTCTGTAACGGTTACGATGAGTTCAAGGCCTGTGGGAAATTTCACTGAGTTAACGGTTCCAATATTTTACATTCATGTGCTGTTTTGATCAAATGAAGTAAAACAAAGGAAACTTTACAAGTATAGAAGCTCACAAACACTTGATCACGTAAGACGTGTTTATCATTAATGTAGTTTAAAATGTTTCCATCGGCCAAATTATTACCCAAAAAAACAGGAATTATGCTCAAATTTAACAGACTTCATTCATTATTTTCTTCCCCATCAAAGAATATATTTATATTTTTGACACAAGCAGCAATGTTTTATCTCAATTTCATTGATAAATTATGTATTTTATACAATATGAAAATCAGGATGAGGGTTTCCTGTATTTTAATGTTCCAACCTTTTTGGCAATGCACTTTAGAGGAAAAAAAAAAAACTTTTTAGAAGGACATCTAACTAAACACTGAAGAGCATCATGTGCACATATTTAATTGAGAACATTTTTGGTTCTTTGGAGCATTAATACTGTATTTGCTGAGTAACTGAAATGTCCTATTTCCATTAAATGCCCCTCCGGTATCATGACACTGTAGGTAGTATGACTTCAGGTACTTCAATTCAATCATAATTTAGATGTCCACTTTAAGAAGTGTAATTTTAATAATATTTGGGGGATTTTTGTGGCGAGAAAGTAGCTGCATCGAAGGACAATCTCCCCCAGATTCAGCACCTTTAGTGAGAATAAGATAAATAAATCCAGGGCGTCGTTGAGCACATACTGCAGGAGATTTGGCAACTTGTCTTCAAAGTAAAGTGTAAATGTTAAAGGGCAGAAACACACTGACGGCTGCTTTACTGACAGCTCAGAGACAGAAACAATAGATATATCTCTCTCTCACACACACACACCGGACCAGTGATTATAAACTGTATCTAACGTGTATATTTAATGTGATCCATTAATAATCACTTCTCTAATGCTCAGTGTGTGTGTGTTGGCGTCTCACACAGTTTAACCTCACAGGCTCCAACATTCAGCTTCATATGCTTATCGCATCAGCTGCTCGATTGTATTCGGTAACCTGAACTGGGAAATGAAACGGACTTCAGTCATCATACAGGCTGTCAAACTGCTGTCGCACAACATGAAACATCAATGATCTCTGCAGGGAAACACACGAGATCATCTGCAATGCATTCTGGTCCTGTAGAAGCAGAACAACTGAGGAAAAAACAAATCGTTCCAGTAGAAAAAAGCCGACTATTCAATCTTTAGTTCAACTAAAAGTAAAATGAAAAGACAACATGCATATTAAATATATTTGTAATATGTTTTATATGCTCAACAGGACAGTTGGGAGTTTAGAAACGTGTAAAGCCACAAAATAAAATGGCTGAAAACATTTAAATGAATAAATAATGACTCGTGATGACACTATTAACAGTAGTTATTTAGTAGCAACAGGGAAGTTTCGTCTATTTCAGCTCGTTGCGCTAATTACCTGCAAACACCAGCTCATCAGGCTATTTGACATTTAGTAATTACACAAGCTATTACAGGCTTATATATATATATGTGTCGCAGTTGTACATGAATATCGGTGCACGGCAGGTTAAGCTCGTGTTCCGCTGTGACCGTTGAACCTAAAAGAGGATTTTCAGTCGGTTTCACACAAAATAGATCTGGCGCCATAATGGAGGTCTACAGAGCTGAGATTTGTGTGGTGATGCGTCTGGTAGCATTTCATCATGCTACAGAGCTAGCTTCTGCTTCTGCACACAGCTAGTGTCCAAAATAGATCATTTTAAACAAAATATATTTATGTTAAGCTAACTAAATCAGAACAATACCTCAGTGTAAAAACACACTTTTACTTATAATCCAGTGACAATTACTGATCATTTATCAGCTGGACAATAATTTGTATTAATCATATGGATCGTAGTGGAGTAGAAATATAAAGTAACAGAAAATAGAGTAAATGTACTTAGTTACATTCCACCACTGGCTACTATGATGGCTTCCACTAAGAGCTGTACATTAGCTATTCTCCAAATGATTCATTTAATCTATCGGTATATATTTATATTTAGCTAATAATTAGGCAGCAAATAAGTTAGAGCTGTTCTGGTACTATGTTTTCCTATGTTACCTGAACTTGAGTATTGACTGATACAAGTACCGAAGTTAAAGAAGTCATAACTCTTTAATATTGATTTTATGTTGCCACAAAAACACATCCTTCAAACTATTTTACTTTAAGTTTCTCACCAAAAACTCAATTTTACAAGATAATATTTAGCCAAGCAGCACTGTGCTGCCCACCAGCTGCTAACCGCTAACGTTAACTAGCGCTTCTCCGGCTGATTTCAGCTCACAATGTAGCTTCATCAGGGAAACAATAGCATGTTTAACAACAGGTGTGTTGTACTAGTTTGCACATGTGCAGTACGCGTGTTCATCCAGCAGTTTAGGCTGTGAAACGTCTTTTAAATTCTGTTAAAACAACCAAATTGCACATTTAAGGGATGCGATCAGCTGTGAGCTGTAGACCTCCAACATGGCTGCCAGAGTGTTAAAAACATCGTCTATATTGCGGACAGTTGGTGTTTGATGGCTAGTAAGCACAGATAGTTTAGGACTAAAGGAAACTCGATCCCAGTTTATAAACCGGTTCTCTTTCCAAACAGTGTACACGTCATAGCAGTAACAGACCAATACACTGATCCACAGAACTCCAAGTACTATAGCTAAGTAGTAACGACCTCTATTACTACCATGGACCTGGACGTGTATGCTAACACACAGCTGCTACGTACTGTAGCTGGTAGATTAGCAACATGTTGGGACAGAAGGGTTCGTGAACCTGGAGGCCCACAAAGTTCACATCGTGTAGATGCAAGAAAAAAATGTAGTTTCTCCTGTTTTTGGATTTTCTTTTAAACATTTAAAGTGCTTTACAGAAGTGAAATGCTGTAAAAAGATCATTCAGCTAACAGCAGACTAAATCCAGCACCTTGTCGGCCTCCACGGTTCCTAAACCTCCACTGCTGGGATGTCACGGGTTTAACTGTCTGGTAAATCTAATTTAAAAGACAAAATGTTTGTTTATATTGGGGCAAAAAGAACATGCAGGTTAATCTACTGTGTGTGGTATTAATAACTAACACCACTCTTCAATATGCTAACATATACAAATACTCTTTTCAGTTTGCGTAGAAGCTCAATTCGTCTTTCTTTCATTCTCTATCGAACACCTCGTCTATGTTTTTACAGAAAGAAAAAGTTCCAGCATAATTTCAATTCGATAAGAGAATATTTGAGCCCTCAGGCTTTTGGCACCTTGAGTGGAAACGGGAGACTAAGGGATGTATGACAAACAAAACGTACAAACACGTCAAAATATAAATATGTACATACAAATCATGATTTGATCTTTTGAAAATACTCCATCAACCCTTCCAGAATCATATCTATCTGTCTTTTCTTTCCAATACGACGCATTAATCTAAGAAGTCGCTGCTATGACTTCTTCGACAACGATGTTCTGTTCTTTTTTGTGCTGAAGTTGCCCAGCGTAACTGATGTCGGATCAGCACCAGTGTTAAGAAACCTCCAGTTAGTCAAAGAGCAATACTGACGGAAGTGCTTTTAATTCTTTGCCGGAACAAGTCGATCGATGCTTTACGAAGGTCTAGATTGTTGTTGGATGAAATCTGAATTGAGACGAGAAACTTCTACTTTACCAACATTAGTTTCTTTCAGTTCAGAAAAGAGATTTTTAAACTATGTGTGTACTCGCTGAACTCTCTCAAACTGGTCTCAAAACCTCAAACAAAAGGGTTGTCATCCCTCGTTTGAACTATTTCTCTTTGGCCAAAAGAAAAGGTGATTGGTGCCAAGTTTCTCAGCAAATTCAGCATTTCTATAACTTAAATGCAAAGTTTTGTTAGCTAATTTCTGAACTGATCCTCGATCAGAGTCTCTGGGCAACTTCCTCCAAACCTCGGCGTCCATTTGATGCCAAAGCTCCAATTTGCGTTAACTTGTTAAATAACCATTTTGTGTCCCTTCAAGAGCATATTTGCTGATATGCAGACAGGGACGCAAAATGGCTCAAGTCAAGCCGACCCGTGTCGTCTCAGTGAATACACGGCGCTGATCGGTCATTGGTCGACGTCTTCTTGAGCCTGACGCCTCGTCGGATAGCCACCAGAAAATCCTCCACCTCGCATAATTCCGATTCCTCCAGGAGCTCCGGGAGAGGCCGGCGCTCCCACTCTGACACCCGACTGCCGGGCTGCGGTGGCGGGGTGGGAGGATCCGACCCCTGGCTCGGGTGCTGGGTCTCCCACGGGACGGATCTCGGTGACAGAGGGGTGGTGGCTGGGCTGAGCGGGGTTCGCGATGCGTTGCCGTCCTCCGATGCCGCCCTGTTGGGGAAACCCGGATGTTCAGGCACAGTGGGGGTCTTGACTGGGATCATGGGGGGCTTGATTGGTATGGGGCCCAAGCTAAGGCCCCCAGAGGGCCGTCGCAGGTTGGGTTTGGAGGATGGCGTCCGTCGGATGGTGGCGACGCCCGGGGTGATTATGGCAGCGGGGTTGGAGGGCAGCCCGGCAGTGGAGGCCGGGCGCTTGGACTGGAACATGCGGCGGTACGACTGACTGATGTCGCTGTTTCTGGGGATGGTGCAGGATTTATCAAAGTCTGACGTCTGCTGATGCTCGCCTTCCTGATCCGCTCCCACCGAGTAGTAGTCACAGTCTGATACTGGAGGGAACAGAGAACAATCTAATCACACGACTAGTGACACAGAATGACTTGCAGGTAACCTCAGCTCAATACTCACCTTTATATTATGTCTAAAGAGTATTGAGTTGAATCTAACCTCTCTTCCTCCTTCTTTTGCTCTCTCCAGGGTCTTAAAGTATTCGTACACGTATTTTCCGAGCTTATTTTCAATGTGTATATTTGTTCAAAGAGGTTTTCAGCTAAAGTTTGCATCAATGAATGATTGCGTAGGCGCCTTGTGGGATGTGTGTCGTTAATATGTGGAAGACGAGCTAACCGACTGCTGCTTGATAACGTCGTGCCAAGGTCCTTCGTTATAACACATTATTATGACTGTTATGACACACTGTCATAAAAATGTCAAAGTAGTCATACACTTACGCCCACCACAATATGTACCGTTACAAAATTAAATCATTTATGTATATATTAAGACACTGAAATAAAAAAATGTAATGAAAGCATGTCTGTCTGTCTGTCTGTCTGTCTGTCTGTCTGTCTGTCTGTCTGTCTGTCTGTCTGTCTGTCTGTCTGTCTGTCTGTCTGTCTGTCTGTCTGTCTGTGCACCTTGTGAGGGGATGGTGTCCTCTGAGCAGCAGGGTGTGTTGGTCTGGCTGCTGTAGCCACTTGATCCCTGCAGTGAGTCTCTGCTGGAGCCGTGGATGTCCAAGCGGAGGCCTCGGGCCAGCGCCCGGGCCAGCTCCTCATGGGTCTCCCTGTCCTCCTGCAGGGGGTCAACCAGCACACACACACACACACACACACACACACACACAGGTTGACTTAGTTGTGTCGTCTTTGATTCACTAATTAAACAGCTAAACATCTGATATGTCACTTCAGAATCAGACACTGTTTATTGCCAAGTATGTTACACTTGGCTTGGTGATTGGTGCGTGACAATAAACACAGTGCAATAGTGAAAAACATAATTAGAAAATAGGAAAATGTGATAAAAAATTGTGATTAAAAAAATAAAGAGACAAGTAAAACAGGTATGTTGTTATTAAAGTGTCAAGTTGTGTATAATCCCTTTACGGTCAGAATTTACACATTTCCAAGTTTCTTTCCAATTAAAGCTGCAGTAAGTCATGTGACCCAATACGACCACCGTCTGACCTTGTGTGATGTCACAGCGTGGTTTCCTTTCACCCCCTGTGGCTCCTCCCCTGTCGTGGTGAGGTCAGCGCCGTGGTGGCTGCTGGGATCTGTAGTCTCTCTCCTGTCCCTGCTCCTCTTCAGGGTGTTGACCATCGACTGGTCGTACGGTCCTGGTTTGGCCCAGTCCTGCACACAAAGACAGTAAAGAATCACACTTTGCTGCTTCTAGTTACACTTTGTCTTGTTTGACTGTTTGGCTTTTGTGACTTTTGTAGCAAATTTGTAATTAAATTTGTAATTAGCTTTTACATTTTATTAAGAAACACAGTCAAATTAAAGTTGTTGTGGAAAACATTTTGGAGATAAAGTATTGTTTTTGACAATGATTTGACTAATTAATTAAAAACATAATATTTACAAATGTGTTGGATATTTAAATGATAATTTACTGTAAATCTTTGTTAAAATTAGGATTCAACTCATTTTCTGTCAGTTCAACTTCTTTTTACAGACCACACATCAGTCCAAACCTGTTTAGAGAAGCAAAAATGATGAATTTAGGACAATGAAGTCCATTGTCATCACAGTAGAGAGCAAAGCTTTCTGTAAAGGGATGTTAGTGTTGTTTCAAAGTTCTGCTTCCATGAAACAAAACAGCATTTTGGGGAAATGTCTCCTTGAAGTGTTTGATTTTAAAGTGAGCAAAGGAATAAAATACAGTTGGAAAGAAGAAAGCAAAAGATGAAAGGACAAAAAGAGAGGTGAAGGACGAGGACATGAGGGAGAATGAGGATCAAACCTTCCAGGACGGGACTCTGGATGTCGGGCTCATTCCGAGCCCGGAGGGGCTGAGAGGCAGGAGCTCTGCCGATTGGCCGGAGCCTGAACGGGACCACGGCCACGTGGGAGAGACAGACGAATAGGAAGGCGAGGAGATGGGTGAGGTGGTGGTGGAGGAGGAGGAGGAGGTGAAGTATGGAGGGTGGAGGTGGATGTCCTGGGCCTGCAGCGCCGCCCCGTGCAGACAGAGGGCAGCGTGATGGTCGAAACCATTTGACAACTGAAGGTGAGTGGATGGAGGGAGAAAAACAATTCAAGAAATCAAAAGATGACGGGTATGACTGTTGAGGAGGTGAAAACATACATGGAGCAGGAGGAGCTCAGATATATTGCTCGCTATTATTGAGTGTGATTTATATGTTTGTATCAGCTTCTGTGTTTGTGTGTGTGTATTCATGTGTAGACGTTCACCTGTTGCAGCCCAGATTGGGGCTCGTTGTGTGAGGGTGAGGAAGAGGAGGAAGAGGAAGGCTCCTCAGATAAAGGAGAGACACACGACTGCAGCAGAGCCATGCAAAGCACGCGCACACACACACACACACACACACACACACACACAGAGAGAGAGCCAGCGGCGCAGAGAAAAAGAGACAGAAGAAGAGCAGAAGCATGACACGTTAGTAAATAAAAACACGGAATCTCAGCGAATCAGCAAAGTGAACAAACAGCTCAAAGAAGAAGAGATGCATGAAGCAGCTTCAGCAGGTGGAATGAGAAGATAGAGGCTTCGATAACTGCACACAATATAAATCATAAATAATATACTGAAAATCCAGTCGGTTATCATTCAGTCAAACACGTCGTTCTTTCCACATTTTTGTGAGTATTTCATGAGATTTTAAAGCTACCACAACGAACGTTCATCTTGTGTTGATTCTGGCGGTCCCTGTGGACAACAGTGGTAGTGTTCCCGAACACCAGAGTCCCTTTAGGAAACCTAATTTACAGTCCTGGCAGTCCTGGTTCCAATCCAAATAGGTCAACACGGTGACGTTAAGCAGCTGCTTCCCTCAAGATAAAACATGAAATCTTCAGGTTATGATTTTTTGTTAAAGGGATAGTTCACCCCAAAATCTAAAATACATATTGTCCCTCTCACCTTTAGTTCTATTTATCAATCTAGTTAGTTTTAGTGTGAGTTGTCTAGTGTTGGAGATGTCTGCCTTCGCTCCAATGCGATGGGACGAGATGTCACTCGGCTTGTGGTGTTTAAAGTGTCAAAAAATCAACAGTAAAGTCTCCTTCCAGGAATCATGACTTAAGATAATCCACAGTATGTACATCTTACTTATATACGTTTTATTTATCATAATGTATCAAATAATGGCATAAAGTAGACTTTGAAATGAACATCTTGGAATTGAAAATCTTAATAACAGAAACAAATATTTATAATAATATAATAATAATAATTGCCAACAGCCAGAAAATAAATCAGAAGCTTTTTTGATAATTGGTTAATTGTTTCATTAATTTATTTACCAAAATAAACCAAACTCTTTTCTGGTTCCAACTTCTCCAGTGTGAGGATTTGTTTTATTTCTTTGTAAACTGAATATCTGAGTTATGGACTGCTGGTCGGTCAAAACAGGACGCAGTGAAACTGTGATATTCATTTTATAAATGGACAAATTCATCAATAGTAGAAATAACTGATCTGTTCTAGAACTGATTTTAAGTGACTCTGTTTTCTATTCCCGTGAATCTCTGCTTATGAAACCCTGTAGGCGATAAGTGAACATCGTCTGCTGCTGGCGTGACTCAGCAAACACACACACACACACACACACACACACACACACACACACACACACACACACACACACACACACACACACACACACACACAGTATCCTTGCAACCTGGAGGGCTTTTCCGACTGCCTCGGTGTCTCTTTCCTCACCTGTGAGGTTTCCGGGGGCATGGGTGAGGGGGATTTGGACTGGAAGGCGTCCTGGGAGATGAAGCCGGAGTCGTGGGAGGAGATCGAAGAGAGGCGGGCCGGCGCCTGCTGGGGGAGCACCGAGGAGGAGGAGGACGAGGAGGCGCGGTAGCGGAAGTGGGAGGTGGGGGAGTGACAGTGAGAGCCGCTGGAGCGAGAGTCGCTGCTGTTCACGCTGTTCAGACTGCTGCAGGACGGAGAGGGGAGGGAAAGAGAGGAGAGGAGAGAGGAGGAGAGGGAAGGAGATGAGAGGAGAGGAGAGAGGAGGAGAGGGAAGGAGAGGAGAGGAGAGGAGGAGAGGAGAGAGGAGAGAGGAGGAGAGGGGAGAGGAGGAGAGGGGAGGAGAGGAGAGAGGAGGAGAGGGAAGGAGAGGAGAGGAGAGGAGAGGAGAGGAGGGAAGGAGAGGAGAGGGATGAAATGGGAGTCAAGTTAACGAAGAAAGTATTGGAATAGTTCAACATCTCGATGACATATCTGGACTGTCAGAGAGTTTGACTTACTGACTAGACCTTCACACTGACCGTCTAGTCACTGAATAACAATCCTGATCAGAACTCCACAAGCTTGAAAAGAAAAGTATCAGCTGCAACTCTTCCTTCCCTCTTCATACTAATACAACAGAAAATACTACTTGTCCTATTTAAAGAACCTAACATCTAAACGCACAGAGCTGCAGTTCCCCCTTTGGACCACAGGGAGGCAGCAGAGTACAAGCAGGGTAACAGATGAGCCGCGTCAGCGTATTGGGGGAGGTCTGTCAGGATAACAGGTAGTATCTGTGGACATGGAAACCAACCTGCACATGCTCGACTTCCTAGAGGTGCTCGGCGACGAGGGCGGAGTTTGGTAGGACCAGGTGCACTCGGAGCCCTTCAGGTCTACGATGACCTGCAGAGAGAGACGGAAAGAGGAGACCTCAGGGAAACGAACCTCCGTCAGCAGAACCTCTGCAGCGTGTGAACAACCGCCCGTCTCCTGGATCAGAGGACCGGGTTCATCTGTTCAGATGGTCCTACCTGCTCGCTGGAGGCCGGCAGCTTGTGCGGGTCCATAGTTAGAGCCTTCAAGTCGTCGGTCAGAGTCTGGAGGTGAGTGATCTCCCCCAGCATGGACATCTCCTCCTCCTGACGACACACAAACACATCGACCGGCTCAGAACTCTGCAACAAAACGCTGCTGACCTGCATTAAAACTTAATAAAAAGACACCCCTCAGGTCTGCAGGGTGATACTTTCAACGTCACAGCTGCTGTTTTTTTATTGGTTCTTATAAAACCAGTGGTTTGGATGTGAGACTGACCACGACAGGCTTCAGCATGGAGACGAAGCAGCAGAAGCGACTCCTCTCCTCCACCAGGGCCTTCCTCACCGCCTGCTTCTCCGTCTCCTCCAGCAGCAGGTATTTATCGCTGACCTCCTGCATGGCACTGTCCAGCTGAGGCTGGAGGTCCCCGCGGCCTGGAGACACAAACACACACACACACACACACACACACACACACACACACACACACACTTATAATCACATGTTCTGGAGCAGAACATCAAAATCCAAATATGAGAAGAGCAGGCAGAAAGGAGAAACCTGTGAAATCTAATATCTTAAACACAACTTGCGTTCCGGAGAGAACATCCTGTTCTGAGACTACAAACACAACCGATCGCTTCAAAACAATAGTTAGAGCTTCTCACAAACCTTAAAACCCACAATTAAAAGAATTGAAGGAGTTTTCTCTCCAACGCCTGCGAAAAACAACTGCCGGCATCCAGCGAACACACACCAAACATTATTAGTGGGCTCATTATCATCTGCAGACATTTGATTACAAAATACAAAATCATATGCAGAGATGTTAAGTAAGAGGATCATGTTGTATGTTTAACAATGATCAAATGTTTTAACTATTTGTTCTCTTTGATACATTCCCTCTAAAGGACAAGTCTGTTTTTTCTATATTCTTCAATAAACTGTAAATAAATCAACGATCATTCTGTAAACTCCTTGTCTATTCTTCAGCACAGACACAAACATATAATTAAAGTCCTTAATTCCTCCAGTGAGATACGAGGCCAAGCTCTGCGGTTTACTCCAATTACACACAGACGTCTTCTTGTTCACGAGGTTATTAGGAAATCAGATGACTGCTGAAAGCCGACTCGGCTACTTCAGAGTAAATAAAAGCAGCTTTTCTTTAATGTCTCTCTTCATCTTCAATCACATTCAGAGGGATTACAAAGGGAACTCCTCCCTCCATCACTCTCCTTTCACACTCGTTCCAACTCAGCAGAGGTTCTCTCTCTCTCTCTCTCTCTCTCTCTCTCTCTCTCTCTCTCTCTCT